ACAGTTGGCCTGGAACGGAGGTGTCCACATTAACCGGACTCCACTGTAATAATGGATGCTCCTTTGTGCATGATTCTGTATATTTAGTTTAACTTACGGATGAATGGGGTTTCACCACGTTTCTCTATGGGTATTTACATATTTTCCGTTTAAACGCTTTGGTATCGCGCACCGCCTTTGGTATTTGAATCGCTTTTCGTGTTGTTCTATTTAGTTTAAATCCGTACGATAATGGTTAATTTAACATATCTTCTTGACTATCTCCCTATACAGTGCGTTTAAAACTTCCGATGACGTTATTTATTTACTGTAATTTGTCATACGGGATCTTTTTCAGCGGACTTTTCATTCCGATTACGGAATCCAGCAACATCAAGTCCATCCTCGAAAACTGGCCAAACAAGGATGATGTTCGGGTAAGACAGCCCTAAACCAAGTCCTAGTAGAATCTTCAGATTTTGGTCTTGCATTATAACAATTATTATTTTCATAGCGAGTTCTGTACATGCATGTATATTGAAAGCTTATTTTCGGAAGATACATGTATTGTCAGTCTTTTGCTGCTCATGTACATCTTCTGTTCAGACCATTGTCGTGACTGATGGAGAGCGCATCCTTGGCTTGGGTGACCTCGGCGCTTACGGAATGGGCATCCCCGTAGGAAAGCTGGCTCTCTGTACCGCGTTGGCGGGAATGCCACCGAAGCACTGTCTCCCTATTCTCCTTGATGTTGGCACTAACAACAAGGTGAGTTGACGTAAAAATCCACAGTTTGTTGGCTACTTACTTTTGCTTATATCTAAATATACAGATCTTGTCATTTTTATGCGCATTTGCTACTCTGTTTACCATCTGGCCATTATCTGGTTCTTACGTTTGCCGGTGCTTTTAGTAGCATGAACTCTTGTTGGTTGCCAGCTCCTTTCCTCGACCCGTCGTCTTCGCTTTTAGACACTGCCGATCTGTCAAAGTAACCCGTCTGTAGGAGCTATCCAAACTCTGAGCTTTCGTAATTTGTCTCGCACCTATGCAGATCCTTTCATTTGTCACGGAGAGAAAGTACTTGCGTGTTTAAAGTGGGGTCGTCCATTCGCTGAAGGATAGAGAGCAGTTCGGCAAGTGCGAAAAAAATTAAGATTCTATTAGATTGAAGGTACATCGTAACACAGGTAGACATAATACTTCTCAGTCTGTATAATTAAAGCTAGCCTTCTCGACTGGGCTTGCCCCGGCTTGTCATGATAGTCACAGAATACGCGGCAGATTCTTCCGGTTAAATGGCACACAACCTTAGCAGCATTCCTCCAATTTGCTTCTTCTCCGGGTTATTGGCGTTCTTTTTGGCCTCACACTTTTATCTTTCGGGACCTTCCTATCCTTCCCTTTTTGAGCAACATTTTCGTTCCAGTTTAAAAGTCTCACCTGGTAGAGAATAGTAATTCATACTTTCACGTTTACTACTGGACATATCTCAACGGTTGCGTCGGAGGTTTCTGTCTTAATAAGTGCTGTGTATTGCCATAGTGTGTTTACCAAGCTTCAAAGGTCAATGCTCCCTCGATAGCACTTGTCGGGGTGTTTATCGTCGTTTGCCTTTGCTCCAGTACACACTACTTGTCCTGACGGGATATTCTAGACTGGTAAAGAAGACAAATGATCGAGCACTAGAACGGGATGTATTTTTTTCCTGAGCTTTCGAGCTCTTGCAGGAGCTCATCGTCAGAGGTGGAGAAACAGCAACAACTTCCATATATTCTATATTATTTTAAGCTAAATTTCTCCATCCTTGCGCTCCATATTTATTTTGTTTTTTTAAGGGTGCCTTCCCCTCAGCTGATTGTGACGTCTACCTATCTGTTTTGATTTTATGACGGAACTGGACGCAACCTTTTAGTGCAGTAGTGAGGGTGTTGTTAGATAACTCACTGACTCATGTTCGAAACTCGGATTTGCTGTCTGTTTTGTCCCCTAAACGGGTCACGCGGTAGGTG